ATTGATTTATGATATGCGGGGTAGAGGGTGTCACAAAATATACTATTATAGATAAAACTAAAATAAAATCTCCAGCTATATGAACATGAAATATACCTTGATTTCCAGAAACATATATACTACAATTAAAATACTAACTTGATTTCAACATATATTATAAAATATTATAAATTAGGAAAGATAGGAACGTCTTTTTTTTTATGTATAATTAGAAGATAAAACTCTCTCACCACTTCTACCCATTTTATGAATAAAATAATGTCTTTTAATTTGAACTCACTTCTATTGGTTAAGGAATAATTTAAATGTCAAACTATTGTAATAAGAACTTTTGTAACGACCCGCCATGGTTTTTACACTTAGTGGAATTGCATTACTGCTAATGAAACTAAGAGAAATATTAAGCTGGATAACTCATATATACATGTACAATTAAAAATGAAATAACTAAGTTTCTGGTTATAAAATAGAACTCCATATATGTACAGTGTCGGTCAAGCACAGACAAAACCGTTACCTAAAATGGTAACTCTAACACGAGGATCAAAACTCTCCGTCTCGCAGCGGACACCTCAACTCCAAGCTAGCCCTGACCTGCTCCCATACCAAGTATGATCATCGCAGTTCCACCACATGGAAACAGAAGGGTAAGCTAGAGTTCAAAACCAATCATACAAGTACAGAATAAAATCTATACTACACATCATCCAACTATCAATCATGTTCATAGAGTCACACCATACACTCTATCCAACACTACTCAGGCATAAAATACAATCCACCAATCACGAAGTCAAACACCACACTTTATCATACTAATAATCATGCAATAAATGCATCTCATGACAGATATCAATGCATATCAATCATCTAATGCGTCGTCACGCATACACCTAGGAGATCTCCATAACAATAGAGTTGTATAAGTGACATTCCATCCTACCGAAACCACCCTAACCGTTTTCACGCCCAATGCGCCCGCTCGGTCACAACTAAACAGGATATAATCCTCACTCGGGTTTACTCGAATGATGTCACTTACACACTTGGAAGTCCAGATCCACCGTCAGGTATAGCACAGCTGGGTACGGGCTTACCACGACCTTGGCATGCATTAACCAAGTCAATTGTGGAGTTCGCCCACCGACTATCCGCAAGGATCCACGCACCTTCCCGAGTACTTGGTTAAGGGAATAACCCTCGACCTCATACCCCGCTCCAACACTAGCTAAGGACTTAGAGGAGACTCACCCAACCCAGTGGCCTATCTGAGCACCACTCTCCCAAATCCAGTGGCCTCCCAGAGCACCACTCTCATATATCAGTGGCCTATCCAAGCACCACTCTCAAGAGACTCTATGTGAGCTCTTCCAGTTCGAAAATATTTTTCCTCTCCTCAAGTCCTAAGCTAGACTCATGCCATAAGGCATCACATGCAATTATGCATCATACATCATACATGGTCTGCCCACCATCATGATCAACAATCATACACATGTCATAAGACAACACATGCAATAATGCATCATACATCATACATGGTCTACCTACCATTATGATCAATAAACATACCCATATGAACATATACACATGTCATATCATATTCAAACATTCATACGTATCATCTCAAAGCATACATATGAATCACACCTCACCATATATCATATATCATATATTCATGATCTAAAACTTCAACTTTAAACATGCATAAGCATCAATTATTTATAAACATATTCACGTTTGGCACAGTCAGCTCACGCCTGGCCTAACACCAACCCTAGAGCTCTAAGCTCTTCCACGCTCGGCACGCTCAACCTGAGACCGGCCTAAATCCTAGCTAGAGAGTTCAAAAACTCTCATCCAAACCAACAAATCCAGCCACATGCAAACACAAAAACACAATCCATAGGCTCCATACAACTTAAATAAACTTAGATCTCACATGCATCCAACCTATGCATCAAAATCCTCCTTTTTTCTCAAAACCCCAAAAATGAGATTTTCTTCAATCCTTCTATGGATTCTCAACATTCATGCAACTATTGAGTTTCTAAACTCACATGCAACCTAAACAACAAATATTCTAGCTTCCTTCACCTGAAGATTGGCTCAAAATAGCCAATAACTGAGAAGAAGTAGAATTCCCTTCCGAAGCTCAACTCGGAACTTCAATCCTCCCAAAGTAAGCTTCCTAATCTAAATTTCAAGAAAAGACAGAAGGCATTAGAGATCTAGAGGAGAAAAAGAATCATATAGAGAAATTCGGGAGAGAAAGGAGCTCACAAACCCAGAGTCCTTCTCTCTAAAACTTCTCTCTAAAAACCTCACTTTCTCCTCAACCACTCAACCCCTATTTATAGAAGTTCCGGAGTGGCCAGAACGGCTTGTTCCGAATCTAGAATGGCCCGTACTCCCTCCAAAACGCCCCGTTTTGGGATTTGGAACGGCCCGTTCTCCCTCCAGAACGACCGTTCTCAACTACGATTTACAGATCAATTTAATAGCTTGGAACGACCCGTTCCAGATTGGGAACGACCCATTCTGGACTACTAAATCACCAAGATTGGGCTTTCTAAAACAACTTGCTACCCTACAACTTTTAGTAGAAATGTACTTTCTTTGATATTGGTTAAAATTTATTAAAAATTATAAACGTTGGAATATAAATTACAAAGATTGAAATAAAATAACAAGGACCAAAATAAAAATAAAAATTACAAGACCATTTTTATTGAAATAAGTTATAAAAACGAAACAAAAAATAAAAGAGTGTATTATTGGAACCAAAATATATTTAAACTTAAACATAATAAAAAATTGATTCGTTATTATCTTTGTTTCAGTCTATGTAACTGAAACGTCTAGAGAAGTTTTATTTGTCACTAATATAATATTCAATGATATTATTAAAAATATTTAAATTATTATTTGTATTAAATTTATTTACTATGTGTATTAAATTTATTTTTTATTTGTATTAAACGTATTTACTATGTGTATTAAATTTATTTTTTTATTTGTATTAAATGCATTTACTATCTGTATTAAATTTATTTTTTTATTTGTATTAAATGCATTTACTATGTGTATTAAATTTGTTTTTTTTTATCTTTATTATATGCATTTACAATGTGTATTACATTTATTTTTTATTTGTATTAAATTTATTTATTATTTACATTATTTAATCAACCATTGTATATTAAATGCAAATGGATATCTTGCTTGGGAGCATTCTTAAGATCAATATTCAACGAAAGTATTTGTATGAATGTTTTTAACTTCTTATCTAATCCAAGTTTTTATTTATCAAATTATTTTAATGCAAAAATTATCTTTTTCAAAATCATTAAATTTTACAGAAGAATTTTTAGATATTATTTTAATTCATATAATTTAATTTTTTATAATATTATTTATAAAATAAATTTTAATAGAGTTAAAATGTTGAATTCTTGTTGTATTAAAAATATTATATTATGCATGTGTATATATATATATATATATGTATATATATATATGTATATATATATATATATATATATCTTTAATAATTATGTATTATTCAATAGAAAAAACTTTAATTTATATTGATTTATACGAAAATAATTCTATTTTTTATTTTAAATACCTTGTCTAACCAAAATTATCGTTTAGATCATTTTTCTGAAATTTATTTGAGTTAAATTGTCTTTGATAATTAAATTTTTGCCATCAACGATGAACACTCTGTCACTTTTTTTTTTGTAGAATTATGATAAATTCCAAAAAAAAAACAAAAAAGCCAAATCTGTTGTGGTTTTTTTTTTTTAATATCTTAAAAGATTTCAAAGCTAAAAAACATCAAATTTTATCATTTTTATCATGTTTATGTATAATTCAAGGACGGAAGAGTCATTATGTATTGCGCTCTCATCTAGATTCATAAACTAAATTTACATACAAATATAATTCAAAATTCTAATCGCAAATATGGTGATCATAATTTTGAGATTTTCATTTGATATATAATTCGATAATTTATGAAGTGAAACAATATTAAAAATAACCTAATAACTAATTGAATCATCCAAATTTTACTAAAAGTATATTTCATATATGAGGAGGGTTCAAACGACACCGGTGTAACTTTAACTAAGTGTTACACCGCTTAATAACTTTATATTAATTATGAATTTTGTAAATCCCACCGTTAGATTGAAAGTTCATATCTCTTAGATCATATACACAAAATTTTATATTAATCCAAGATGATTTGATACTTCATTTTTATAAAACAAAATTGACGTAATATATTTATTTCAAAATATACTAAAATATGAACACTTTGATTACCTTCAAGTTGTTGTTCAATTTTAACAAAATTTGATATACACATATAAAGTGATATGAACTTTCAATCTAACGGTTGGATTTACAAAATTCATAATTAATATAAAGTTATTGAGTATATATATATAAATTATAATAAACCGGTTAAAAAATATTTTTTTAGATTCTAATAATTATTTTGTTAAATATAATAAATTAATAAAAATAAGGTTAAATTATATTTTTATCTCTTTATTTCATCAATCTATAATTTTGGTCTCTCTATCTTAAAACAGAGACATCTTGTAATCATCGTACGATTTCTTTTCCATACTCTTATTCTCCTTAATCTTCCTTACTGCTGAATCTTCTGAGTTTCCCTTCTTTTCTTCTACAAAGACTGAAGAGTGGTGTGTTGGTACTGCAAGAAGGAATCTCCCATTCCTGGAAGTCTAGATTTCTCTCTTCTCCTTTGTGTTTTTCTTCCTTCCCAGAGTCGTGCGAAAACTTATTCTTCTCCTTTCTCTTTAGCTCGGAGCCGGATTCTCCTTACTCCGAGGTTAGGGAAGCTTCATGCATTTGTTTCTCCTTGAAATAGTTGAGTTGTTGGGTGCGGATTGAAGCTAAAATGGGTTTTGGGTTGGAATAGAAAAGTAATGATTTTTTGATGATCCTATAGTTGCATGTTGTTGTTCTGAGTTGCTTTTAGTTGTTTGATATAGTTGTAAGTGTTTGGAGGTGGTTGCATGTGTTGAGAATTTTCTGAGTTCAGGTTGTAGTTCAAAAATTGTGAAGAACATGAGTGCCTATTGTCTTCAACGATTGAGTTGTTTGAAAGGGTTGAGCCCTTTCGGGGCCGCGTGACAGAGGGAGATCTCTGGAACAAAAGAGGTTGAGTCGTTTAAAAGGACTGAGCACTTTTGAAACAGCTGAGCTATTTTAAAGGGCTGAGCCCTTTGGAGGCTGCGTGATAGGGAGGATCCCTGAAGGTAAAGTGATGAGCGCTTTGTAATGCACTGAGAGGTTTGGTTCTTTTTGAATTTGACTTTGTGTCGCTCATGAAAGTTGTAGCCTTGTATGCTAGCTTTCCAATGGCGCTAAAATCACCCAAATAGGAGGTCTAGAACTTCATTTATGACCTTTTTAGTGAGCAAAGGAAAGCTGTCAAGATTTAGGTTAATTATTGCAGTTTTTACAATTTTTAACAAGGTAGATGATGAAATTCTTGAAGTCTTCATGAGAATTTTAGGAAATCTTCTTGTCTTTCATATGAGATAAGGATGAACATGATAGGAGTAGTATAACTTCATATATGCTATTTTATATGAAGGATGCCATTTCACAATAAGTGATTTGGTTAAGTTGAAAGTTGTCTTGGGTGCTTAGGTTGATTTATGTTGTTTATTTGTGTAAGTTGGCATGATAGATGAATTTTAAACATGTTAGTTGATTTGTATTATGTGTTGAATATGTTGTATGTTGTTGAAGTTGTTTATAAGGTTGTAAAGTTGTTAAGTTGTCTGATGAAGATAAGTTGAGTAGTTGTTGGCTTAAGTTGTTTACATGTTGTGTATTTGATGAGACTAAGTTATTTACATGTTGTCTATTGTTTAATTATTAGTAAGTCGAGATGTATAAGTTGAAGTAGTTTATTGTTGTAAAGTTGTTTAAAGTTGTTAAATTGCATTGAGTTGATTTAAAGTTATCAAAATGACTATTGTTGTAAAGTTGAATGAATGATCGATGTATATAGTTGTGAAGTCGTAAAGTTGACATTGTGATGACTATAGCTACTCAAGTTGTTTATTCAAGATGATATTATGATGCCTATTGTTGTAAATTTGTAAAGTTAGGGACATATGGTGAAGATATATGTCCTATGTTGAGATACATAGTACTAAGGTGATAAGTTGATAGTTGTTTTCTTAAAAAAAATGTGAATCCATTAGTGTTGTGTGGGCGACATGGAGGTAGTCGATCCATGTTATGGTTAAATGACCAATTTGAGTAATGTATCTAGTTAGAGATGTAGTCTTTGACTAAGTACTGGAGGGTGTGTGGTACTTGGAGGGTAGTGGGTGGGCTAACTCCATATGTGGATTGGTGATACAAGCCAAGGCCATGGTATGCCCATACCCAAACCATTTTTCCCTAACAGTAGTACTGGACCTCCAAGTCTGAGTGGCACACATGAACAATCACCTATTATTGTCTATACCTGGTTCTCTTCGGAGTTCCTAACGATGCCCTATACTTAACCTGATTGAGATAGGTCAAATGTTGGATTCGATAGGGTTTATGCCACCTAGACTACTTAACCTTAGTTATTGGAGATCTCCTAGTTGTATATGCGTGACAACGCATTAGTTGATGTTGCATGTGTTGTTGCATTCAAGTTGCATATAATGTTATATGAATGAGCTGAAAGTTGAGCTATTGTGATAAAAACTATGTGGTTGTATTGTGATGATGAGTTATTGTTCACTAGGATTAGAGGGGAAGATATTCAAATTAATTAAAATTTTGAAACGGAAAGAATCCGCAGCCCACGTTTCAGCCGCCCCTTCACTGTGCAATTGCATAGTAAAATACTATTCATACATACGTATACGTAATTAATAAAAATATGTATATATAAATAGTAAAATACGTATACATGAATAGTAAAATACGTATATGAATAGTAAAATATGTATATAAAAATATGATATATCTACTAAGAATCTCAATACATAAAAATAAAATTTTGGGATGTTACAGGAGACAAGTCAAGCTATACTGATTATAAGCGACCAATTTGAGTAAAGTACGATGTGCTGAAAATGTTGTTATTCTTAGATGATGTTGTATATCTATTGTTGTATGTATTGTGTTGCTTCAAGTTCCAAGTTGAAAGTTGAATTTTATTATTGTTTATTATATGTTGACGCTATTTTTTTATGATTATTGTTGTGAGCTTACCCTAGCATGTTTTCCCTTTGTGGTTGTAACTGCGATGACCATACTTTAGTATGTGAGAAGATCAGGATTAGGTGCTCTGCTAGACTGGGTGAGTTTCTTTTTGGTTGAGACTCAAGAAAAGAGCTAATGTTTTATTTAGTGGATTGGTATAGCATTCGACTACCTAGTTATTGTGTAGGGTATTATGCCCTACTTTCAATTATATGTATTATAAGACTTTTTAGTTGTGTATTCTCATTATATATATAATTGTTTAGTAATGATATTTTATTTTATACATGGGTCGTTAGTCGTTACACGTCTAATTTATCTAATTTTAAAAATACGAAATTTTAATCTTCCTATCAAATTAATATTTATAATGACTAAGTTTTAACATATACTCATGATTAAGATAACATTTAATAACATGATATTTAGAAATAAAAAAATTAAAAAAAACATATATAAATAAGATTTTTATTAATAAAATTAATGTCAATCGCTTGTAGAGATAGATATAAACGAAGATTTTTTTATATTATTTTTAATTTTTTTTGTATTTGATAGCTGTAAGGCAAAACCAAAAATTTGAACCAAGAATTGGAGTGGATGGTTGTCATGGCACGTTTTTCCTAGCGAGTTGAAACTTTTCAACATTATTATATGTACCATAGAGGAACTAATTTTGGTCGAACTACTTGTGGACCTTTCATTTCTACTATTTATGATTATGATAAAGTATCTATAGCTTACCTACAAATCAACAGGTACCTGGTATAAGACAAACTTCTTTGCTCTGGAAAATTTTGTTAGGATCTATCTCTTAAGCCCAATTTTAGAGTATTGGTATTTTTTCATTTGTCTTTTAGTAATAATAAATAAATATCTCTTTTAGTGATTATATACTGTAACATCCCAAAAAATTTTATTCTTATGTATTGAGATTATTAGAAGGATTATCATATTTTTATACGTATTTTACTATTTACGTATACGTATTTTACTATTTACGTATATGTATTTTACTATTTATGTATACGTATTTTTACTATTTACATATACGTATTTTACTATTCACGTATACGTATATGTGAATAGTAAATGGCTGCTAAGGAAACCACGAGGGAAGCAAGTTTCAATTTTTTAATTAATTTTAATATTTTAATGAATAGTGCATAGTAACTTATAATATTATTTTAATGAATAGTGCATAGTGCATAGTAACTTCAAAATTTCTATAAATAGGAGCCTAAGGTTTTGAAAATTTAGAATTCTAGAGAGAAGGAAATTCTGGAGAAATAGAGAGAGAAAGTAAGAGAGAGAAGGAGAAAGAAAAGGAGGTTCTGCTCCAGTGCCGTGTTTAAAGAGAAAGAGGAAGAGATTCTGCCCTAATTCCGATTCCTTTTTAAGGAAAGAGAAGAGGAGATTCTGCCCAAGTTTTTAGAGAGTTATTGCGCTAGTTCCAACTCCTACTTATCCAGGTAAGGGGGGAGTGGGAAACCTTGCTTGGGGGTGTGGGAATAATTGTTAAATAGTTTGTTTGTTGGATTGGCTCCCAATCTCTTGCTTGCTATTTATTTCTTTGAATATGTATTATTGATGTGATTTGTTTTATATCCTATTTATTTACATATTAGAATCTATTATTTGAATGGAAGGCTAAGCCTCCTAAGTATTTATAAATTTGTAATCTGTTATTTAAATGGAAGGCTGAGCCTCCTTATTATCTTATATTACCTTTTAAGCTTCCTACTTTACTTAAAAGATCTTAATATATTATTATTAATAAATATGTAATTGATGTTAAAAAAGAATAAGTTTTAGAATAAAAATACCTATGCGAACTTATGAAGATCTTATTATGACTTGAGTATATGAAGTATATATGAGACCTATGCGGACCTATGAGGATATGACTGTATGAAATATGTACTCATGACTTGTGACCTACGATCCATGAATGGACCGTTGAACTGTTGAACTATTGGACCGTTGGACTATTGGACCGTTGGACTATTGGACTGTTGGACTATTGGACTATTAAAGTTGGATTAATAAAATAAATCATAATTATGAAATATGAATCTTATATGTGTAATATGCTAAATGTTGAGTCTATGAATGTATGACATGCATCATATGCATATATTATTCCAGGTGTGCCGCTGAGGCCGCATACCAGTGATGCTAACAAGGTGTATGATCACCAGTGATAGGTGTGCCTTCGGGACACCAGTGATGTAACATGCTAACGAGGTGTATGAACACCAGTGATAGGTGTACCTTTGGGTCACCAGTGATAAATTCTGAAACTTCCGTATGGCGCCACATGCATACATTAGTGAGTCAAGTCAAGAAAATCATTATACATAAGCATATATGTGAGATTGATTATATATGTGAATTATATTGCGTGTGTGTGTGCTATTTAACTTTTATTTCTTCATCTACAACTGAGTGAGATGTTTCTCACTCCCTTGTTGTTTTTTCTGTATATGTTTAAATTTATGTTGCAGGTGTTCATCATCATGAGGATGTTGGTGATGAGGCCTAAAGGTTTCTTGGGGCATGCTCTGATAGGATGTGACATCGGGTTTAGCTAGGATTTATCTCATGTTTTTCTTATTCTAAAAACATTTTCTTTTCTTGTGTAATTTAAATAAATTATAAGTTGATTCCTAACTAGGAGGCACTGCCACCTTTACTGGGATTGATTTATAATCTTTGTTTTATTATGACTTCTTAAGTTATATATATATGTTAATGAATTTATGAATGTGCATCTTCTACCTTATGATACTTATTGTTTTATATCAATCTATGAAAATCTTTTATAAATATAGTTTATGTTTATTAATGATGTTGGGGTAGAGGGTGTCACATATACGAACTAAAAAAATATAATGTAAAGAGTGTTCGAG